CCCATCCTCTCCTTGCAGTGCAATAGTCTTGTGGGGATTATTCATGATTGATAGTTGGATTCATTTTCCAACGAGATACCTGGATCCAAATGAATGCTTTAATATTTCAGCCCCTTAAAAACGTAATGAAAAACCTGTCATGGGTAACAAGTTGCAATGAAGTGCTTGAGCACCTTAACTGACAGCTTCTCTGTGATTTCAAATTCCAGTTCACCTGGATGTGAGCTACATAGTTAACCAAGCTAAGAATGGTGTATGTTAAGAAAAATGTAATAATTTTAATAAATATCATAACATCAACAACTAAAACTGCCACTATGTTTTACATAAAATACTAAAATAATTTTTTCAAGATCATTACACCAGAAAACATGAGATACAGTCTAAAGTTTCTTTCCATTAGCTGATTTCTCCTCTCCTTAGCTTATTTGCTTTGTTTTGTCTCAATTCAGCTTTTCATCTACTCTCTTACACATTAACCGAAAACAATATAACACTTTGAACTAATCTAGATTTCTCAAGCAAAATAACTTGACAACCTTTATTATCAAGTGACTGAGATTTTTTGATGATCTTAAATATGTAAATTTAGCAATTGCGAAAATTGTTTGTCTTTCGTTAGCATGTTCAATATTTATTATTTAAAGAATTAGAATGTTCTTCTAGATGTAAATCAGAATCAAAAGTTCTATTACGCTGATAAATGTGATTTTCCATTTCAGGAAAGTTCCTTTTTCCAGTCTGTTTTTTATGTGACTGTTTGTTACTGAGACAAACAGAATGGCTAAATCAATACAAATGGCCCCCGAGGCCTAGAGAGACCACAAGAAAGTGTAGCATCATTAAACTAAATTATGGACCAGCACTTATGGAGACAAATAAGTATTTTGTTACCATAAGTCCTTATTTTTTTTTCATGGTGAGGATGATTGAAAGTGTTTACATAACAGGCACAGTACCGGGAACAAGGTTTCTGTGGTAGTGTCCTAATAGGTATAATTTAGTTGCTATGGCTGTTTTAATCAGATTGTGTAATCAAGTGAAATTGATTAGTGTAAGAAAGTGTAATCAAGGGGCAGAACTCTGATAGTGTTCTGCTAAGCCCCAATCTTTATCTGGTATTAGGAAAAATGTAATATAACTCAGGAGAGTTAATAATCAGTGAGATAACACTGAGAAGGGTAATGGAAGCTACCTAGAGAGCATGAGTGGGACTGTATTACTCCACACACATGGGCCATGGGGTGAGCTAGGAGAAGAAAGACACCGGATGTGGTGAAAATGAAATAGTACTGGAACACAGTCTCAATAGAGGTTTCCCTTCCTGTTCTCTAAGAGAACGCTCCCTGATGCTCAGGTTTATTTCATCAATTCCCCTACAGTAGATGAAAACAAAAACAGAGGGATTTAGCTCAATATTCTACAAACTCAATAGAGGCAAAGGAGATAAACCCCAGGAAAAAGATCTTCAAAAATAATTGAGGGAAACACATCTCAAGAGGAAGAAGAATAAATTGCCTATGGTGTTTTTAAACTCAGAAGAACTCAGGGCGTAAGGGACTTATGGTCCTCAGCAATATCATGCGTATGACATGTGCCCCATAAGTGGCAATTAAGAGCAGTGGTCAGTATCAGTCGATCACAACTTGAAGCAAAACAAAATAAATTAATTAATCTTCTTGTATGAGGTATTTAAGTTTAATATTAGAAAAACATTTAGTTGCATTATAAAGTAGTGATGGTGTTTGAGGCCCTTCACCCAGGATATATATATATCTTTTGCTTTATATGAGCAATTTTAAGCCTAAATGTGAGAGATGTTTCATACAAAATGTTTTAATATAAATTGTTTTCATGACACAGATGCACAGATTTGAACTCTCTCTGGAAAGCTCAAATTCTTTATAGCCTCTGTGAAAGACCGCATTCAGCAAAAGGTTATGCTTGTTTGTCCATACTGGCTACTAGAGTCGTGAATTTGGAGGAATTATTCTATACATATCCTTGACACTGCCAGTTTTTATTTTGTCAGATTAAGTGGGAACCGAATAGACAATTTTTGCCTCACTAAATCAAAAGCATTTTTTATTGGTTATAAACGACATTGAGCTACACTTCTGCGAAGCACATAAGAGTGGTTTACGACTTTTTTAGAAAAAATGTTATATTCAATGGGCTTACTGAAAATTTGTCTTCAATATAGCAATTCTATTATATGTGAAAAAATATAAAATTTAAAGAAACTAAAACATAGATAAATTATTTTTATTTGTCCCTTGAGAGCTATGGTAGAGATGTCCCATGCTCACACATAACGTGTTTCTCCTCTCTTTGCAGGTTTCTGGAAAAATTAATGTTCATTATTTTTTCACTAGGCATCTCCATGCGACTAGTTCTGGTCAAGGAGTTGTGACTGGAAGTAGCCTGATCACTTACAATCCAAAGGATTTAAATTGCTGGTGTGAATCTCGAATCACACTTTCCCTCTTCTATGACAGTCATGAAGGCAGACTCATATTCTAATAGTGGAACCATGGTCTGAAGGGTCATGAGTCGATGAATTGCCAGTTGAATTACCTGGATGCGTGAGGGGCTTAGCATTAGCAAGAAATAAACCTTTGTAATTTTAAGTCACTAATATTTGGGGGTTGCTATTTCTACACAACCTAGGATGTACCAGCAAATCCAACTTTACACAGCAATTTTGTTCCATGATATTTCCACATAGAGTCTAATGTAAAAGTATTTGTGTCTTGATGCAGTGTTAAATTTAATTCACCAAAGCTTATTGGTGAATTAAATTTGTGAAGTGGAGGCAAAATTAAATAGTAAAAGTGAACAACATGACCAAAGTTAGTCAAAATAGAAGTTTCATCTTGATGCAACAATACGGAATATAAAAGAATAGTGCCAGACAGTTAGTGCTTCAAATATTGTGTTGGCAGCTATCTTTCTCTTAGAAAAGGATCTCTTACTCATATAAACAGACCTTTTGTGAACAGTACACTTTACTCTGTCAATATTCTATAGCAGCCAGCATCTCTGATTTACAGGGTATGATAGTTGGCAGAGGGATATGAAGAGAAATCCTGAAGGTAATGTTTGAGTGTCTTATTTCTGGAGGGCAGGAAGTGATAAATACAGCCAAGGGAAATTCACCCTATGCCAGCAATCCTTGGGGACTTAAGCGGAATTAAACTTTTTATATTAATGTTACTCTTACTTTTTTAGTGCATTTAAAAATAGCTCATTTAAAAAAATAAATTTTCCTTTCCTGCGAATGAAGTCTTTTTCAGAGAAGAGTTTTTGTAGAATTTTTCATTATTTGGGAGCATTTATACTCATGAAAATTATAGGGAACTTTGGGAAGTTTCAAAAGCCAGAAGAGATCTGAATTTTGAATACTAAACTTGCTTACTGCTTTGGGTTATTCTGCCTGAAGAAGAAAACTAATTTCTTTCTTAATGGTGGTTTTCTTAATATCTTGTGAAAACTTAGTCGTTGAGAAGTTCTGAGATGATGACGTAACTGGAAACTCCTCAATATCACTAATTCTCATTGCCTTCTACTCTTGGTCTATGCCCCTCCCCTTCATCAACTCTTGTTAGGTGGGAATACCGACATTGTGAAATTGACTAAATAAAAATGTGAGGAATATTTTTACCAAGTTTTATCTTTTTTCTTTAAAGTTACGGGTGTGTGTGTGTGTGTGTGTGTGTGTGTTTATGTGTATGTTTATCTGTAGCACTATGAGCATAAAGAAGAGAAACAAGCATTTTCAAAGTCATCTGTTGTGGTAGGCAGAATACCGTTCTTCCCAGAAGTGTCTACATCCCAAACCTTAGAAACTGTGAATATATTATGTTACACGGCAAAGGGGAATTAAGGCTGCTAACAAAATTAAGGTTGCTAATTCATTGACCTTAAAATAGGGGAGATTATCCTAGATTTTCTGGATGGCCCTAAGGTATTCACAAAGGTCCTTAAACGTAAAAAAAGGGGGGCAGAAGAGAGAGTGTCAGCATGCTACAATGTGAGAAAGCCTCAACCTACCATGATGGCTTGGAAGATGGAAGAAGTGGGCCATAAACCTAGGAGGGTGAATGGTGTTTAGAAGTTGAAAAAGGCAAGGAAATGGATTCACTACTAGAAGCTCCAGAAAGGAATACAGCCGATTTTAGTATAGCGAGACCCATGTCAAATTTCTCACTCGTAGAACTGAGATAATAAATTTTTGTTTTAAGCTCTTATGTTCGTTGTAATTTGCTACAGCTACAATAGAAAACTGATTAATATATCTTTAATGATGTATTAGAATAAACAATATGGAAACCACTGTTCCTTAAGTCTTCAAGAAAGCCCTACAAGAACCATAGTAATCAACGGTTAATTTCAAACTAAAAAAAAACTATAAACAAATTTGAATGAAAGCTCATGGGAATTTTACTGGAAATGAGCTTCATTTTCCAGAATGTAAGGGTTTTGGGAAATGGAATCTAATTCCTAAAAAAAGTAGACGAGGCTAGATGTCCCCTGTCCTCGGGCTTGCTCAGATGCAATTTTGCCGGGAAACAGAAATGAACTAGATTCTCTTGTGAAGTCCTTCTGTGCTCACAAGTCGATGACTAAAGAATAAATCATAACAAGCCAGGATCTTGAAAGGTCAAGCTAAAGTTTGCCACTGAGTTGGACAGGGTCACAAGCTGAGAATGTTATTTAATACTGAGGCATATTGTAAACTTGCCAATCCAATCAGAATCTGCTTTGATGTTATGCTTCTTGCTTTGTAGGTTCTGGTTTACGGCAGTTTATATTTATATTCACATCTATTTTCCTTTCTTCCCTCTTATAAAATTCTTGGAATCAGTACTTCTGCATCCTGCTTAAGCAAGGTATTAATTCGAGCCAATCTTCAAGCTTCTGCCATCACTTGGTTCCAATTTCAACTCCATTATTGTATAAAATTTCATGTTTACAACATTCTACCTCTGTGTTAAGAATAACACTCTCAGTCACCAAGGCTTATGGGGCCTTCCACATTTCCAAGTGTGACAAATAGTCATGAAAAAGATATGTGGATTTTAAAGTTTATTTTGTGAAGTAGTAACATTCATCTAACTGAAGATGGGAACTTTTTATTCAGCACAGAGATCATTGCAGTGATTCCAAATGCTTGGGAAGGACAATGAAGACAGACTCTTTTCAAGTCACTTATAAACTTGCTGGGGAAAATTCAACAAGGTAATATGTCCACTTCAGTCTCAAAAACTTATTAGAACATAAAGACTATTAAAGAAGTTTAGGGAAAGTACCAATACTATGGCATGTGTTAAGTCATGATAAGTAGGATTTTCTACAAAATATTAATTAACTAGTCTTTTGAGATTATGTTCATTGCTAAATTAACTAATTGAAATAGATCATAGATTATTAAACGCTTAATCCTGATTTTCTTCAATGTATTATCTACTCAATTAGCATTTGAAAATACCTGGGTATTTGGCATAACAGATGAAAGATCAAAATGGTCTCAAAATAATTCATAATTGAAATAAATGTTTTGGTGTTAAAGAAACAGGGACTTAGATACTTGCAGGTTTTTTTCTAGGTGAGGAGAGGTAGCTATGAAAAGAGAATTGGATTTGAAAGGAGAATCAAAAATTTGAAATCTCATCACTACTTTGTCATTAGAGAGTGTTACATTGGGTTAATTATTCTACTTCCCGGGTCTCAGTTTCCATAAGTATAACATAAAATATTAGACTATATTCATCCTGTCGTTAAAAAAAAAAAAATTGAAAACCTTCTATAGCCTTTTGTATGGGCAATGGGGACATGGGTTGAATGCACAGAATTTATCATCTGCTTTCCCTTCCTGAATAAATGGTATTTATCGATCTGCCAAAATTCATTGAAACATAATATTAAGGCAATTTAATATTGGCAATTATTTGCCCTGTACCTGAAAATATGTTTCCTAGGATTTCAAAATTAAAGTTCCTATGATAAAATAAATCGGAACTTACTTTTAAGAGAATATTTTAAAAGAATATACAGCTGATGAAGATTTTTATGACACAATGTTAACATGAAAAAATCAAAATACTTTCAATAGATCAAAATTCAGAGTTGAAAAAGCAATTATATAAAATTGATTTATTAAATTACCGCATTATGAATAGGACTACCAAACCACATTTTAGCGTGGACTGTAGATAATTGCATGGGATTTCTAGTTTATGAGACAAAGTTTGAAGCAAAAAGGAAATTTGTTTTGAAAAATCTTGATCTGAAATTTGTTGTTGTTTTCTTTGTTTTAACTGCTGGTAGAGAGCAAGACATAATTAAACCTAGATGGCAGATAAGAAGAGAGAATAGTTTTATGACTTCCCCAAGTATTCATAGTTCAAGCATTTTTAAAAAATCTGTATATCCGACTTTGTCAGAACAACTTTTGTTTTATTTTTATTCTTTTTCTCTTTCTCTTCCTTCTTATCCCACCATTTCTCCTCTTTTAGCTGTTTCATTCTTCTTTCTTCTATATATATTATTTTTGTATTTTTCTTCTTTCACACATTTTCCCTTTTAAATCCCATTTCCTTTTGGATGGCTCCTTCTCTCTCTCATCTTCTCTCTCGTCACTCTACCCTCTTACTTTTCTCTTAGTTATTATTTACTCATATATCTGGTCTGGGATCTCACAGAACCCCTACTATTGACAGAGAATGAGACATTTGCTCCTCCTTGGTAAAGTCCCAAAGAATCTTGATGAGATGTTCATGGTCCATCCTATTTTATTCTTGACAGTTCAGTTGTCAGTCACCTTCCTTTCACCCTCAGATTGTCACTATTGTTTATCCTGCTTCCACGCCATCATTAGACCTCGATAACTTACACTCTAAAGGAATAATCCATCAGTCCCATTTCACATACTAAAAGAGTTGTGTCCCAAACCCTCAGAAGCTGCTGGGTTCTGTTTACTAACATCTCTTGAGTTGACCTGGGTATAATTTTGGCTATTTCTCAATAATTAATAAACATGGGCACTGGTTGAGAAATACACTTTTATTCTTTGGCCCCTTCTCTTACTGACACTGATATACTCCTCTCTATCTTTGAAGACTACCTTCAATAAATTCTTCAATTTGTTTTCTGTTGGCCTGGCCAAGACTTTTTCTGTTGAAAGTGAGAAATCTAAACTCAGAGAAGTTTAACCATAGGAAAGGAAAAGTGTTGCCTCAAATAACCAGCAGTTCAAGGGAAGATTATCTTCAGGTTCAGCTAGATCTAGGGCATCAGTGATGCCATCATGTTGCCTGCTTTCTCTTTTTCTCCCTCATAACTTCTCAGTTCCACATTCTTTATATGTTGGCCTAGTTATCTGCTCCCTTATCACATAGACTGGATTTCTGCACTATAATAATTACAAGACGATAGTCTATAAACTTAAAATCCAAAAGTTAGTCTTCCAGTTCCAACAGATGTTGGAAGACAGAAAGCCTCTCTTGGGCTTATGCCTACCTCTTAAAAAAATCCAAGAAGATATGGTCTCTCTGTGGCCAATCTAAATAATACGAACACCCCTGTGGTGGTTGAGGTAGAACAAATAGCAGATTTATTGAAATCTCTACCAAAACTATATGAAATGGAGGAAGTATACTTAAAGGGAGACGGAAAAGGAATCTGAACAGACAAAAATTATATTTAGAACAATCCAATGAACATAGACTCTTCCAAAATGATACAATTCTTGGAAATAGCCTTATAAAGTCCAAAACAGCTAAGCTATGGCAGATATCAGATGATTCCAGAAAAACAGTTAAATTCCAACAAATAGAAAAGGTAGATATAGACTGAACAATGAATTTAGCTAATCCATTTGGGATGTGTCAATTTTTTTAGTGGATCTATTAAATTAGACTACAATTACCATATTTTTTTCATGTCACACGTGGTTAAGAATAAGTTCACATGTACTAATGGATCAACCGCTGTGAGTTTTATAGAATTTTTTTCTTCTCAACACTCTTTCCTCTTTTGGAATTTAAATTCTCATTTGGGATACCATTTTTAACCCAATTTCAGTCTAAAACCTTAAGCTGCAACAGTCCCTACCCAAAAGTGCCCCAGTTCACTAGGAATGAAATTCAAAGCCCTTAAAATCACCTACAAGTCTTACAAAATCTTGCCTCAGCACCTCTTGACCTCATGTTCTGTCATTTTAATCCACTTGCTCCACTCCAGCCCCACTGGCCCCCCTTGAAGTTCGTCAAACAAGCTGAGCACATTCCCACGTCAGGGTCTTTACACTTATCGTTCCTTATTTCTGGGACACCTTCCTTCTAATAACCACATGGCTTTCTTCCTCACATAACTAACATCTTTGTTCAAATGTCTCCTTTTCAGGGAGTACTGTATTAAACAGACTATCTAAAAGAAACAAACAGACAAAACCCTCTCTGTGCCATTAGACTCTCTAAATTTTTTCACAGCACTTTCTACTACCCAACACATTATACATTATATTTTTGTTTATTTCCTCTTTACCCACTGACATGTGAGTTACTTGACAAGATTGATTTATTCATTCTATTTTTCAGCACCCAGGACAGTACCTGACACATTGTTGGTCCACTATAAATATTTGTTAAATAAATTCCTGACGGAAGAAAGAACGAATGAATGATCCTATTACTCAGATACAAAGGTAGACTCATGACCCAGGTTTATCTGGTCAAAATATCATATCTCTTGACCAAAATAATGCTTCAACAATGGCCAGGAAACTTAGATCAAATGAACGATACATATTCACAGTAAATCTGTGACACTACAGGAAAAACAATACAAGTCAAAGCAATGAGATTCATGAAGAGGTCAACCTGAGTAATAATCCAACACTGATATGATGAGGAGCATGATCACCCTAGTAACCTTCCCCTTCTTTGTTTCCTATGCCAGTTGGAGCTACTTTTCTTTTTCCTGAAACTGAAAGAATTCTAAAGTCCTTGATATTTCTTTCCAAAAGAGACCTAGTGCCTGCATTGCAATCAGTAATTAATAAGCATGTCAACTTTTTGATACTGTCACTTGTTACAAATTTTATAAATTATGCTAATTTGGAAAATATCATATTCCTGTTTTTAATATATATGTATTCTAATCATTTTTGCGTGACTTATTCATTCATATCACTTAATGACAGATTGAGTTATTAGTAATGACTTGAAAATTTGAGGTGACATCATAATGTGGCTGAACAAGTTGTCCTCGCTTATATCCCCCTTCAACAACAATCTGGCATCCATCTATGGGCAAAAGTGCCTTTGCGAGAGTTTCAGGATCCAGCACCATATGCCAACAGACCCAGGAGGAGTCTATTGCACCCATACATTGGGTAATAGACATACAGACCTCATTCCTGACTATGTACCTTGAAGTGCCTTGTGAACCAACTCCAAGCCCTCTTGACTACAGTCTGGGAGCCTCTGGAGAACATTATCTTAGACAATCAATCACTCACAGATGAGGGAGCCTTTGTGGAAGTCCCGGTTTCCAGTGAAAATGTTCCAGCACAATGTTGGAGGAAAAACAGGTGAGTTTGGATGCACAAGAGATGGTAAGAGAAATAGCTTAACTTTACCTGCATCACCACTTCCACAAGGCAGCACAGCTCAGTGCCAAGAAAACTTTTCAGCCTATGATATCTCCAGAGGAGGAAAGTGAGAGTGTGTGAGTGGGCACTCACCTTCCCCAGCTGTGTGGGATGCTGCCAAAGAGGCCCATTTATCTTTCACCCCATCCAGAGTATTGAGTCATGAGTTGTGTGACTGAGGTCAAGAAGAAGATAGGAGAGTGGCAGATAGTATTCTCAGAGGGAATTAAAGGGATAAAGATCCTACGGTGCTACTGACTCAATCAAGAAGCCCACCTATTAGCCACTGAGGAAGACTTGCATGCAAATCTGTCAACTGGCCCACAGGCACTCCCAAAGCTCTGTACACCTCACCCATGACCCCCATACTCTGTGACTGGCTCCTTGTGTGCACTTCAAGTGGTGGTGAGAGTAAGCTTTGGCAGACAGCTAATGAACATGCACAGAAAGCTGGCCTGGATCTGCAGGTCAGGGAAAGACTGCACTTGAGCATTAGTCCACCCTTGGAAAAGAAAACGGGAGGCTGTCAGCACCCATCCTGGTATGTTTCAGGATCAAGAGAAAGCATACAGGCTTAAGAATTCTA